AAGTTTTTTTGATTTTGTTATTAGGGCAATACTGGCCACATAAATAGATTGAGAAGTCATCTTTCATCTACAGTTTTTTTTTAAAGATTTTATTTATTTATTTGACAGAGAGAGACACAGCGAGAGAGGGAACACAAGCAGGGGCAGTGGGAGAGGGAGAAGCAGGCTTCCCACGGAGCCGGGAGCCCGATGCGGGGCTCGATCCCAGGACCCTGGGATCATGACCTGAGCCGAAGGCAGACGCCTAACGACTGAGCCACCCAGTCTCCCCTTTCATCTACAGTTTTCTATAAGATTTTGTATAGAGTTGATTTTATTTCTACCTTAAATGTTTGATGGATTTTATCAGTGATTCCACTGGGGTCTAGAGATGGGCAAGGTAGTGTTAATTAGGAATTCAATTTCTTTAATATAAGGAAATTCAGATTGAGTGTAAAATTCTGCTTGAGTTTTCTTTGATAATTTCTATCTTTCAAGAAATTGGCCCATTTCAACTAAATTTTAAAACTTAGTGGCATTAATGTGTTCATAATACTTCCTTTAATGTCTGTGGTATTTGTACATGCCACTCTTACATTCCCAATATTGATATTTTGTATTTTCTCTCTTTTTTCTTGATCAGTCTAATTAGAATTTTATTAACATTACTGATCTTTTTAGAGAATCAGATTTTTACTTTATTGACAGTTTCAAGTATTTATCAATTTTCTATTTTATTGGTTTCTGATCCTGTTATTATTTTCTTCCTTCTTATTCTGAATTTAATTTTCTTTCCAGTTTTTTTGATGTGAAACCTTAGGTTATTTATTTCAAATGTTTTTCTTATCAATATTTAAAGCTAAAAATTTATCTTCAGACACTGTCTTAGCTGCATCCCACAAATTTTAACATGTTGCATTTTCACCTTCAGTAAATTGAAAGTATTTTCTAACTTCCTTGTGATTTATAATTTTATCCTTGGATCATGCAGAAATACGTTTTTTAACTTCCAAATATCTGGGATTCTCCAGATATATTTTTATCATTCGTTTTGAAGTTAATTGTGTTGTAGTGAGAGAACAAAGTCACGAAGAGGCACATTACAAGCCATATTGAAGGAAACACCTCAAGGAGCTACAGGTGGGCATGGGAAAGAGTGAATGGGCAGAGGATTGAGAAAGCAAAGAAAGCCCAGTCAGGACAGCATAGCTGGGAAGTTAATCTTCTATTTCCATGTCTAAGACAGAAAGCATGATCCTAAGGACAAAGTTGAAGTTTGAGTGTAGGTTGTCAAGAGCCAAGTACCACACCTACTCGACTTCACCCTCAAAACACCTATGCAAGGTAGAATTTGACTTAGAGATGAGGAAGAGTAAGGGAGATGAAAATTACTTTGTAATTTTTTAATAAAAGGTAGTTATTAGATCTATTGCAGACTTTGATAGAGTCCCACATGAATATGTGAGTCCATTTAAAAAAGTATTTTCTTAAAATTTTATCTGAGAGAGACCCTTAAGAAAAAAAGCATTGTATCCTAGGTGTTTAAAACAACTAAATAACGGGAAATTATTTGTGGAAATAATTCCAAGGGCACAGGTTTGGTATTTTGTTGTTGTTTTGTTTTTGTTTTTTACACAAAAGATACTACATTGAAAATTTTTAAGGAGTAGAAATTAAAGTTAAAATAGCAATATTAATCAAGATTTATATCTCTTGATAATGCATATTCAGAAAAAAATCATCACTTTTGGGGCACCTCTGTGGCTCAGTGGGTTAAGCCTCTGCCTTCACCTTAGGTCATGACCTCAGGGGATGGAACCCCACATCGGGCTCTCTGCTCAACAGGGAGCCTGCTTCTCCCTCTCCCTCTCCCTCTGCCCCTCCCCCTGCTCATGAGTTCTCTCTCTCTCAAATAAATAAATAAAATCTTTTTAAAAAATCATCATTTTAAGAAGCATAATTATTTGGTGAATTAAAGGAACATAGGCTTAGAGTTCCTTTGTCACCAAAAGCTGCTCTGCTTCCTGAGTTCCCACAGGAGCAAAGACCCAGTCATCACATAATTCTGTGCTATAAGTCTAATTTAATACTCATCTCCTCCTCAAGTGGATCTTTCAGTCCCTTCAGATTGACTTAGTCACACCGCATATGAAAACACACATACGGAGACACAAGGACTACCCCCAGCTGCGCACTTCTCTTTCACTGACTTACCTTTTCGAATGTGGATTAGTCAAGTTCTCCAGAGAAACAAAAGCAACATAATATGACTATATGTGCACATCTGCTTGTTAGGTGGCGTGAGCCAGACTCCTTACGGACGAGCCTGGGAAGGGGGGGGGTCTCTGGCACCTGCAGCACGCAGGTGTTTCTCATCACAGGAATCCCCTGCCGGCGCTGGGCTCGGGTGGAGGAGCTCCGAGATCCCGCGAGACGGGGCTCGCTCTGGGGAGAGTTGTTCACCTGCGCAGCCCGCCCGCCTGGTTCAGCAGTCCTCTCGCCCACCTCTGACGCTCAGCACGTCCCAGCCCATCCTGGCCCTGCCCTGCCATCCAGACCCACACCTACTCCTCCTACATATCAAATAAAAGGGAAAAAAAAATCTCTCTCTCTCTCTCCCTCAATCCCTCTCCCTCACTCGCTCTCTTCCTTTCCAAATCATGTAAGACCTTATAGCAAGGCTATAATAAGGGGCTCAAAATTTCCTGTAAGAGCAATGGAAAACAGGTCAAGGAGGGTGACAGGATCTATCTCTGTCTAGCGAGAGAGAGAGAGAGAGAAAGAGAGAGATTTTCAGGAATTAGCTCATGTGGTCATGGGGACTGGAAAACTCAGAAATCCATAGGTAGGCCTGCAAGCTGGAGTCTCAGGGAAGAGCGTCAATTGAATTCCAAGGGTGGTCTCTTGGCAGAATTCTCTCTTCTTCAAGGGAGATTAGCTTTTTCTATTAAAGCTGTTAACTGACTGGCTGAGGGCCACCCATATTTTGGAGAATAATGCTTTATTCAAAGCCTACTGATGTAAATGTTAATCTCATCTACAAAATACCTTCACAAAAACATCTAGAATCATGTGTGACCTGATATCTGGGTACTGCGACCCAACCAGGCTGACACATAAAATTAACCATACAAATGTCTTCTCCATCTCCTGTCACAGTGTTACTTGTCCTCTCTGGTCTAAAAATGACCTGGTTCCCTAATCCTATAAATCTATTCTGATCTTTTATCTGAATTCTTCTAACCGTTTTGTACTACTACTTTAGGATCTTATGCTGTGAAAAATGACATTTGAAAGCCTTAGAAAGTGTATTAACTCACATTTTTACTTGTTATCTCTGGGTTTGTGGAATGTGAATCTCCTTGAAAACAGAGACTCTGTTGCATTTCTCCAGCACCTACCACTATGTCTTGGAAACAGTATTAAATCAAACAGTATTGAATAACTGCAATCTTTCATTCAAAAGAAATTTGCATGCTCCTGCATGAGAATGCATAAGAATATGTCTCACAGGCTCATATGTATATATATGATATATATGTTTTACTCATTGATATAGCCCCAGTACCTAGAAGAGTGCCTGGCTCATATCACTTTAACAACCATTTGGTAAAGAAATTAGAAATAGTCAATGGTGCATAAGGAGGGAATTAAATACAATATAAGTTCTATGGAAGAGGGGATCTTATGCTGCTGGTATATGCTCCCAAGCACCTGACACAACTCTAGACATGTATTAATTGCTCATTAAATGAATTGTACTGACCCTAGCAAAAATTCAACAGATTCTCTCTATTACCAGTTACCACCTTATGGATAAGTGCTTTTATTTGCTAAAAAGAAATACAGGAATGGTGTTGTCAGATTATAGTAAATAAAATAAAAATAATGACTATTTCATTTTTTTATTCCAATGAGCTTATTATGCCTCATTGGTATCTTTAACTTGAATTCTATTATTGAATCACCTCCGAACTAAAATATTGCATATTTTTAAAGTAAAACTGAATATACTCTCTATATTTTAGCAGGAAATGTTAAGTTTTAAACATCTTTCAGATATCTTTGTAACTTACAAAAAATACATCTAACATATATTTTTTTAAAGATTTTATTTATTTGAGAGAGAGAGCATGAGCAGGGAGGGGGCAGATGGAGAGGGAGAGGGGTAGAGGGAGAGGGAGAAGTAGCTCCCCCACTGAGCAGGGAGCCTGATTTGAGGATCCAACCCAGGCTTCATCCCAGGACCTCAAGATCATGACCTGAGCCAAAGGCAGATGCATAACCGACTGAGCCACTGAGGCACCCCTAACATATGTTTTTTAAATATCCGTTCTACACTAATAAAATAAAAGTCAAAATTAAAATGATCAATTTCATACTTTTGTAATATGTATTCCAAGAACAAACATTCAGCATGCTTGTTTTTCTTCTTAAGTGTTTAACTTTCAATATTTAAAAAATGTATGTATTAATGTGGCTATTTGATGAAAGCTCTTAGATTACTCAATTCATTTACACAAGCTTTTTGGCAATAGGATAACCAGAAACTCCTGCTAAAAGACACTGCTGCAATGATAAAATAAAATGCATATTTTATTTAAGGTCTAATGTTTCATTAATTCCACACAAGAAAACTAAGAACTCCCAACCACAATGTTTTCAGGTTTCAATTTTTACTTATTTTCATAATGAGATCAACAGAGAAGTTGGTGTTGGAATTGGGGAAAGAAGATCATTTTATATTTACATGACTAGAATGTCCATGTAGATGACCCCTCCTGCAGAGATGTGATTACATCAGTCATTTCCAAACTCTCAAGTCCATCGTTCCTATTATCCATGTGTGTGCATATTTGTATGTGCATGTGTGTGCATATATGTGCATCAAAACCAGGCTTTTTACTACATGAAATGAACATAGAAAAGGAAGTCCTAGTAGACGACTTTCTGTAATTATCTCATTTCTCTTGTAAAATTGGTAACTAATGTAATAAAAGTATTTACTTTTCCATCCATAGGACCTAATTGGTGACCTGAAGGAGAAGCTTTCAGATCACTTCAAAGACGTCATGGTTGGCCTCATGTACCCACCGCCATCTTACGATGCTCACGAACTCTGGCATGCCATGAAGGTAGTGGTCTGACACAAAAATATACCTGTAATAGGGGCGCCTGGGTGGCTCAGTCGTTAAGCGCCTGCCTTCAGCTCAGGTCCTGATCCCAGGGTCCTGGGATCGAGCCCTGCATCGGGCTCCCTGCTCAGCGGGAGGCCTGCTTCTCCCTCTCCCACTGCCCCTGCTTGTGTTCCCTCTCTTGCTGTGTCTCTCTCTGTCATATGTGTAATAAGTACAAGGCAATATTTCAGTAGAGGGGAAACTGCCCTGTGATGTTGCTGTATGTGATCAGGGGTTGGGGAGGGAATATCTGAGCAAAAATAAAACAACGAAAATGTTGTGCTCAGGATAAGTGACCCTGTTAAGAAGAGGGGCTTCTACACCCTAGTAGCTGGGATCAGCCTGTTCTTTTGCTGTACAAACTCAGATCCACTGACCCAGCTCTATGCCAAACTACCAAAAGAAAAAACTAAATAAGCTTCCAGGGTTGTTCATATTCATCTCTCCCTAATATGTATTCATAAATTAAGCAAAAATGTTCTAAGTCATGTGACCCTCTTTAAATTATTTGTAAAAATTGGACTCACTAAGTAAAAATGGGATACTGAGTCAGGCAAAATATAGATGACGTCTTTATTTTTGTGACCCTAAAAGTCCTTTACAAAAACCATTGCTCAAATATATAAAAATTTTACTTCTGAAGAATTAAAAATAATGTCCTTACAGGAAAGTCATTTCCATGAAATAAATTGACTACAGATTTGTTAGAGACTTTGTTGGTTACGGATGGGGTACAAAAGGCTTTTTACATCTTTCCAAATACTGATATTAAACACCTGCAGAACTGTTGTAATCATTCCAATACCATGCCTGCCAATGACCAGATTACTCAATCTGTGAACAATGTGTGACAGGAAAGAGGAAAGGGGAATAAATTAAGGGAACCTGGATTTTGGCCATCATATTTGCAGATGAGAATAGACATTGTATAAAATTCATATGCAATTCAACCAATCGCTTTTTTATAAATTGCATATGGCAATTCCTACCTCTTGCAAAATGATGTGACTACAAACTATAAGAAGGAAGTCTCAGGTTACTGTTTAGATAAACTTATATTTTATCAGTATCACATGGAACGGTAAGGATTTATGAAACTTTCTGGAAGATGTGTTGTCTTTATGATCACTAGCACAGAAAAATAGATGCATATAGCTGTAAGAGACCGTAGAAAGTACCCAGTCCAATGCTTAGAGAGATGGTACAAAAATCCACATTTAGGGAGAGGCAGGGAGCAAGCCCTGAAACATCTTTAGGAAACTAGGAGACCCTGGTTCTAATTTCAGCTTTCCAAAGACTGATATTCTAGTAGCAAAAAAAAAAAAAAAAAAAAAAAATCAGTGTCATGAGCCTTGTTCAAACATCTTTTTCCACATTATTTAGAAATGCCCATGTTGTTTTATTCTAAATGAAGGAACAGGGTTTCAGAAAATAGTATCCTCCCAGGGTCAAGTAGCTAGTAAATAGCAGAGCCAGAACTGAATTGGGCCTATCTTTATCCCAAACATGCTTTCTTTCTCCCCTGCCGCCTCTCAGAATACCAGGAATGTTGTAAATCCTTATTATACATTAGATGCACTATTATTCCCAATACAAATGCCTTTATATTTCTCCCTTTCTCTGTATTACAGGGAGCAGGCACTGAAGAAAATTGCCTCATTGATATTTTAGCTTCAAGAACAAATGGAGAAATTTTCCAGATGCGAGAAGCCTACTGTTTGCGTAAGGAAATATACATATGTACATATATTTTACACACATATAAGCTTTATATTTTTCAAATAGCACACAAAATATTCCAGCTTATGTGTTTTTAAAAATTTTCTAAGACACCCTTATATTTGAAATATCACTCACTCAAGACCAATTAACTCACTAAGTAAAATTGATGATTAGGTTATCAAAACTGAACCGATTCTCTAGACAATCAAGTTAAGCAAAGTTTCCGGGAAAATAATTGCAAGTTTCTATGAGGTGAGTGTTTACATTAATTCATGCAAGTGCCCAGCACCATTCTTAAGGACCCTTTTATTTCTTACCCAGGAGAAACCAGGTATCTAGACAAAATAGAGCAAAGAACAATAACTGCTTAGCAAATTCGACAAATACGGTTAACTACTTCACTTTACATAAATCTTGTAATCACTGTGATCTATCTCAAAATCAGATTTTTACACACTTTAAAAGTAGAAAAGTTAACTATTTTCATTTTCAAAAAAGTTTAATGCCTTAAGCTTCATCGCATCATGTATTACCTCTCACTGAATGTCAAGAAACTATTCTAGACAGTTACCTCTGCTGCATTTGAGCAAGAACAAGGGGAATTTCCCAAAGGGAATGAAGTAAGAACCTTCATTTAAAATATTAAAGGAAACAAAGCACTTGGGAAAAGTGCTGAGCTGCGTAGCAGTCTATGGAAATAGAATGCAGAATTCCGAATTTTGAGAATTAGAGAATGTGCTATGACTCTCGTGTTATTTTTCAATTTTGGAATAAAGATAATGGCTTTTTAAGAAAACAGACTTGTGCCTATGTTACTGTTAGGTGTCCACATTTCTTTGGTGGACTCTTTAGGAGATTGACTTCATCTGAGTAGAAGGCAGTAAAAGACAAAGAAATGTCAACAGATTGATTGTATTTCCTATACTTTCCCCTCACAACTGAGGAAATAATATTAACTTACTCAAAGTATGTTGATATGTGGTTCTATAATAAATCATACCTTTAACATGGAAGTTTTTTTCTAGAATATAGCAGCAACCTTCAAGAAGACATTTACTCAGAGACCTCAGGACACTTCAGAGATACGCTCATGAACCTGGTCCAGGTATGAAATTCAAAAATTCACACCATTTTGCACTAGTAAAAAATATATATGTTTCATTTTCAAAAAATAGGACAGAAAACTCCAGTTTAAAAGTAAATTCTGTATAATAATATTTACTGAATACCAGCTAAATTCAAAGCACTATAATAGAAACTTGGCTTGGCTATAGAAACAAATGAATATGAATAATACACCATTTCTATTCTAAAAAATCTATATATAAGACGATTATGATTAGAGACACATACATAAATAATTATATTAGGTTCTAGCTCTCTGTCTAAAGAGCTAATAAGTAGAAATCCAGAATTTGAATTGAATCCTATAGACTCCCAAGTGCCAGCATATGATCCTCAGCACTGCCTCTGAAAATTCTGTGGTACCATACATTACCACAGAAGAACACTACTTCAAATTAAAATTAAAATTTGACAGTTATTTTGTTTTTCTGCACTGACAAGATGGTACGTAATTATTTCATTCAATTAGTATTTCTTGAAAACATCCCACATACTAGCATTGTAATAATATTTTTAGATATAATTAGCCTTTGTTTTATGCATATTCTTAAATATGCCTGTCATCCAATTCAGCAAAGGCATTCAGGAATGTAAAGAGAATCAATGTGCAGTTCTTTACTATCAAAAAAAAAATCTACTATCTTTTTTTTAACATATAATGTATTATTTGTTTCAGAGGTACAGGTCTGTGATTCATCAGTCTTACACAATTCACAGCAAACAATCAATCATGGAACATTACATCAAAAAGTAATGATGTAATGTATGGTGATTGACATAACATAATAAAATTAAATTAAAAAAAAAGAAAGAAAATCTAAAAGTTCATAGCTGGGAAAAATGTCTTAACCAGTATTTTGGTTTGGTTTATGTTGTACGAGTGTGTGTGTGTGTGTGTGTGTGTGTGTGTGTGTGTAATGAAAGAAGCACTTCTAAATCCCCCAAACCTGGGATGCTTGGGTGGATCTATTGGTTAAGCGTCTGCCTTCAGCTCAGGTGATGATCCCAGGGTCCTGGGATCGAGTCCCGCATCGGGCTCCCTGCTCGGCGGGGAGTCTGCTTCTCCCTCGGCCTGCTCTTCCCCCATCCTTGTGTATTCTTTCTCTCTTCTCTCTCTGACAAATAAATAAATAAAATTAAAAAAAATCCCCCAAACTTTTCTCTTTATGTCAAGAACATAACCAAGTAGTTGGTTAGTTAGCACAAAATTTCACTAAGAAACATTAAGTAGATAGAATTTTATACGTGGGGATGTAAAATTAAGAAAAGACTTCATTGCCTTTAAAGAAAAAAGAATAAATGGTAGCCCTTTTAGGGAATAAAGGTGGAAGAGCAATACCTAGAAAGAGAGCAAAAGACCAAGAAGGAGGAGACTAGGGTAAGAATGCTGCCAGAGGACCTGGGAAACCCAGGGCCCCACATGTTCAGGAGGGGAGTCTGAATCACCAGATAAAAACATTGGCTAGAACATGGAATGTTCTTTCTTCCTTTTCCCTGAGTCACTCCTGTACCAATTGCCGCTATGAGTCGCTAGATTTTTTTTAACCTAAACATTTCTGTGGCCACTATTGCCAAACTCTAGATATTCTTCCTTGTCCTATATCCTCTTCTGGTTTATCTGAAGTGGTACTGTGTAGTATATCCTCTGCCAGGGTTGTATCTCTTTCACAGCTCCATTTTGGCAAATTTAGAGATCTAGCAGTTTGCAGGTTGAGTAGCCCACTTTTCTTTAATCTGGATTAATGATGTCCTTGGAAATGTAAATATCTAAGAAACTTAGAAGAATTCTAATGTAATTGCTTCCGGGGAATACTGTATACCACTTAGCCATACCCAAACTTCTCTCCTAGACATATTTCCGTGCATCCTTTCACTCTCCCTGACCATATTTCTTGTTTTTCACGACTTAAAGCCAGTTCCTTGAAAGTCCTCTCAGATAATAAATTTAGTCAGATACTTGCTGCAGGGGTGAGTCTTAAAAGGTGTTTGCTTTTCAAATCTTCAAGATTGCTTGGAGTCAGTGGTTTCCCCTTTGAACTGTTAGAGACACCAAACACCTGGACTTTCTCTCTACTCTCTTTTATTTCTGCTTGCAAACCAGCCAGTTATTTACTGAGCTCATCTCTTTCTGGTAATACATGGCCACTAGCATAAAGTAAATGCCATTTCTCAAGCTCACATGGAGACCAGAACAGGTGCCACTGATCAGAATACAGCCCTCCTCCAAGAAGTGATTCAGAGATTCAGTCTCTTTCCATCTAGTGGCTAATCTATCTTTCCACCTTCCCTCTAATTTCCTCATGCCTGTCCTCAATCTACAAAAGCAGAAAGACACTGGAGGATTGTTCCTGGGAATTTTTATGGGCCTCACTGTGATGTCTATCACTTTTGCTCACATTTCATTAGCTAGACCTCCATCAGATAACTCCCCTTAATATCAAAGGTAGCTGTAAAATATATCCAGTTGTTTGTCCTCAAAGAAGATGAAACAAGTTTGGAGATCAGCTATCAATGTGAAAATGAGATTTAAAAAGCTGCAACCAAAACAGGCCAGTGAGCAACAGAAGATGGAAGAATGAAGACATTTATGGCAATAAACAGGAAATCTATGAGGATGACTATTTTGGGCACAAAATAGAGAATGTCCCAAGGGATAGCAATGTATTAAAAAAGAAACAAATAAAATGTCCTGCATTATTTCTTAAAAATACTTTAAAGGGTAAATGTCTTTGCATTTTTATTCATGCTTTAGGTTTTTTGACATATCCTTATTGTGTCACCATTTTTAATGATCTTTAAAAGATGACTGTGTGAAAGTTTCTTGGCCCTACTTCTAATCTTACCTGTAGAATGATAATGTTCATCATACTATATACTATGTATATAGTATACAATTTTAATCTGAATATATTAGCTATATTTTAAATTTCTATATAACTAATCCTATCATGGATAATTAATTCATATGAGATGAACAAAAACCCAACTCCATTTTAATCTTTTATTCCTTCTGTTTTGTTTTCAGCCTTGATAAACTATGTATGTGTAAAAAAAAAATCAGTCCAACATTTACCTGTATTTGATTGATTGATTGCTGAGTTGTTCCAACAAGCAAATTTCAAAAATACTAGTATGAAAGCTAGTATGGGAGTAATCAGTTCCCATCAAGCCTCTGACTGACCCTACTCTTCAAAGCCTCCTTCTGCTCCATAGGAATTGCTCTCCTCCGAGACTGTCTTATGTATTTTTAGTCTATCTTACCATATAATGTGGGATGTGTTTACATACCCACCTATCCCAGTAGCTTCAGTTTCCCAATCATGAGAACTATGTCCTATTCAACTTTATAGTCTTAGAACAAGGGTCTGTGTATGATACGTGGAAAGCAGGTCAGATTTTTTTGAAATAAATGCTGCAAAGAACAAATTCTTTAAAAAGTCTGAGTGAATAAAGAATAACAAGGAAACAAGGAAGCATTCAGTATAGGAAAAAAAAATACAGAATATTCCCCAGCTATTCAGGAAAACACACCCAAAGCCATATGCTGATTTGTCCCGAAATTACAAATTCAAATATTTACCTTACAGAGATTTCTATTTTTTTAATTCTATAAAGCTTAGTTTTTTTAAAAAAAAAAGTTTTTTTAAACTTTTCTGAAGTTAAAGTATTATATTACTGTACACAAGAAAGATAAAAATTAAGAATTATTTCTACCTTGTCTAAAACTAGTCTGTATACAAAATAGTTAAAGTGAGAGCATGACTATTATTAATGAATTTTTCTTCTAAGATATCAATGGCAGTGAATTACTACTTCATTTTCCTTCTTTTCTTACTTATGTTATTTTGCTGTCTTCTTCATTTGGGGTGGATTAACATGTCCAATCAAACACAGGTGGTATGGTTTCCCTTAATATATGTTTGTTATGATTAAAAACTTCATGTTGGGGCACCTGAGTGGCTCAGTCATTGAGCATCTGCCTTCGGCTCAGGTCATGATCCCAGGGTCCTGGGATCGAGCCCCGCATTGGGCTCCCTGCTCTGCGGGAAGCCTGCTTCTCCCTCTCCCACTCCCTCTGCTTGTGTTCCCTCTTTCGCTGTGTCTCTGTCAAATAAATAAATAAAATCTTTAAAAAAAAAAGTCATGTTGTACTTCACACATATTTTGTATGATTGAATTCAAGAATTAATAAATATATTAGATTGGAGCACTAACCCTCCATTCATTACCAGACAACATGGATTTTACTTCTTTTTTATCCTTTTTATGCGGAATGGGTATGTGTTCCCAAGCTATTCTCAGTTTTGAATTAGGAATAAAAATTCCCTAAGGAAAACATTGTTGAGGAAGCCAATTATTAACTACACCAGATTAAGGAAAGATTGGTAATTTGGACTGATTGGATTTCTTCAAATTGTTCACTTGAAAAAGGTGATATAGTACTAAGCAAATCCACTGACTTTCAATTAAATTAAAAATTTTCAGGAGCTCCTGGAGGGCTCACTTGGTTAAGTGTCTTCCTTCAGCTTGGGTCATGGTCTCGGAGTCCTTGTAATGAGCACCTAATGTCTTATGGAAGTGTTGAATCATTGTGTTGTGTACCTGAAACTAATATTATACTGTATATTAACTAGCTGGAATTTAAACAAAAACTTTAAAAAAATTCTCTCAATTTAAAAAGGTCATAATTTTGGGGATGCCTCGGTGGCTCAGTCGTTAAGCATCTGCCTTCGGCTCAGGTCATGATCCCAGGGTCCTGGGATCGAGCCCCGCATCGGGCTCCCTGCTCAGCGGGGAGCCTGCTTCTCCCTCTCCCACTCCCCCTGCTTATGTTCCCTCTCTCGCTGTATCTCTCTCTGTCAAATAAATAAATAAAATCCTTAAAAAAATAAAATAAAATAAAAAGGTCATAATTTTTTTAATTTTCAACTAATGATGCTACAAAATATAAATTAAGACAACAGTTTCCCAGTCAGAAAT